TGGAGTCTGAATCTCATCCCTGAGAGAAGGCCCTCTCTCTTGAGTACTTTCCTTAGCCTTGGGATAGAAGCTGCTCCCTCCACCTGCTTAGAGATCTCTTTACCCCTCAGTAGTTAATCCCTTTTTATTAGCTAAGAATTCTTCCCATTAAAATTTCCCTGTTCAGAGTATTGGTGCGGTCTCAGTTTCCTGACCCGACTCTCACGAACACAATGCTAGATACTCAATAAATGACCGGTGAATGAATGAATGAGGGAGAGAATTGAGGAAAAATGCATCATTTTCAAAATGTATTCCTTCTGTTTATTCTTGAAGACTTGACGGTGTTGGGTAGCCCTCTGCCCTGCCAAACTCTTTCCAAATGTTCAGGTAGCTTGAGAGTTACACACTTTCAAGCAGTCTATCAAAACCCACCTCTCTTCTTCTCTTCAGGTAAATATTCTGTGACAGATTCCAGTGGCACCATGGATAGGGAAACAAGTTCCTCTCTCATACGTCCCCTCTGCACACCCGCCTGGATTTTCGATTTGATCACTCAGGGCTCCTAATGCAGGTGCTTTTTTTTTTTTTAAGATTTTATTTATTTGAGAGAGAGAGGGAGAGTGAGCACCAGAGGGAGGAAAGGCAGAGGGAGAGGGAGAAGCAGACTCCCTGCTGAGCAGGGAGCCCGATGCGGGACTTGATTCCAGGACTCTGGGATCATGACCTGAGCCGAAGGCAGACACTTAACTGACTGAGCCATCCAGGCACCCCGCAGGTGTTATATTTTGAGAAAGCCAGAGATCTTCCTATTCGCTTCTATAGGAAACTACTGAACTCTCCACACAGTTGACGTCGAGACTACAAACAGTCCTGTTTTTACAGTCCAAACAAAACCAGTTAGTGTACGGAGACGTCCCTGTAACTTACTTTGGAGGAAGAAGTTCTGGGCCAAAGCATATCAGTAAAATAGGCTAACCTCTTGCTCTTATGCATCTCTGGGTAAGACTAAAAAAAGAATTTCTCTTAAGGCAGGAAAATATGAATTACAAAAGTCACAGTGATGTGCATCTCTGTGACGACTTGCACAAACTGCCTGCCTACACCTACCTCCCCAGACACTGCAACCAAGTGAACCAAATCCTGAAATTGAACACACTTCCAAACAAGGAGTGCTCAACCCTTCATTAAGGCTGATAGAAGAGCACATCGAGGACATGGTGAGGTTTTGCTTGTTTACGTAATAAAATAGACACCAGTATTTAGCTGCTAAATGTGTAAACACAGCCTGTGTGACAGTGGGTAGCTCAGAGGGAAGGAAGCAATTTAGGAAATACCTCCTTCCCACATCACACACATTCGTAGCCCCATCAGAAGACCCCAAAAGTAGGTCCTACAATACATGCGTTTTATAAAGCAAACCCACCCTCCAGCTTCAGGCTGTGTGTGACCTGGTTTCTCTTTTAAATTTTTCTAACTGGGGTGGAAAGCTAACAGTGTAGTATGTCGTGGTCAATATGTCAGCCGCAGAGTGAGTACAGTGTTACAGAAAGATCCCAGTAGTCATTTAGTACATTTCCCCATAACTTGAGAGAATGTCAGATGGATCACTGGGGTCCCGAATGCCCTGTGTTGGATCCCCACATCTCAGGCTCTGAGTTTTATGCACAGTAGCAAGGGAGTTTCTTTCTGGGACTGGAGGACAGGTTTAAGGAGTGGAGTAGGAAGGTGGGGGTGTGCCGCTTTTCATGAGCCATTATTGCAGTTTTAATGGTTGTCAAACAAATGCCTAGTGATTTTGAAATGGAGAAGTTACAAGTCCCAAGGCTAGGTCAGGCTTAAGGATTCCTATATTGTACTACTGCTCCTACAAATAATTTTTGTTAATTTGTACAAGTGCACATGAAAGCACGTCTTTGTTTGACGTATCACTGTTACCATACTCCTCAATGTAACGGCCACCCAAGGGTGCTTAGGGTTAGGATTCCCCTCCCCTCCCCATCCCATGGCAGCTAGGACATCACTCAGATAAATATGGAAGGCAGTGACTTCAGTTATACTTTTCCCTTTTGCTGTCAAGTTCACCCATAAGAGGCCAATTCTCAGCCAGCCTAACCCTCTCAAACATTTAGGGCACAGAGTTACTTTTTTTAGTTGGTTCAGCAAAAATGAAAATTTTTGAATCCCAGTATAAGATGCGTTCCAGTAGCAATGGTGTTTATCTTGTCACTGAGTTATGGATGTTAAACTCTTCTGTTAGGTAGATAAGACGGTAATTGTCAGAAAGGGCTGGGGGCTGGGGAGGATGTTCAGAGACCCTGGGTGCCTTGCCTTTTCCTGGCTCAATCTCTTTTTCAAGTCTTGTTTAGAAATGGTTATGAATTAAGAATTTGAGGTTGGGGCGGGGGGTGGCGCTGGAGAGCAAGAGGGAGGAATGAAGTGAAGACTGTGGAAGTTAGGGAGGGAATGCCCTCAAGCCCCACAGTGATGAGAATTCCAAAGGAGGGGAGGGGGCCAAAGTCCTCAGGGCTCTGCCCGCAGAAATCTGCTAAAAGCATTGGAAGCTTTGCAGGCAGTGGTTACCTGTGGGATCTGCATCGTTATATTCATTTTGCATGATTAGTAATCCTAATTGGGTCTCGTCATCTTTGGGAAGAAGACCAGGTGCTCTGAGCCAGTGTTTTCCAAAAAACTGTGGTTGTAACCCGTTAATGTTGTGACCCAATTTAATGGATCTTTGACCAGCATTTTTTAGTGGAATGTAACAGAAAAGAATGCATCGCCTGTACATAGCTTCCTGCTGTTTTTGTTTCAGTTGTGTGTGTATACAAGGATATGTATGCGCTGGGTTGTTATGGAAAATGTAGTTCTTACTGTGGATCAAGCTCAAAGAGTAGGAAAGTACTGGGTTTAGGTGACTTTAAAAGGAAAAGGAGGGATTGATTGTGGTGTGTAATTGGTAGAGTGGACAAACACGGCCCAGCCAGTATTAATAGGTACACGTGAGTGTATGTGTGTGAGAGCCTGTGTGTGTGTGTGTGTGTGTGAGTGTTTGTGTGTGTGATCTGATTCTGCCACGAGGTCTAGGCAGTGGTATGCTTTTTCCCAAGAAAAAAAAGTCCTAAGATTAAGGGGCACCTCGGTGGTTCAGTCGGTTAAGAGTCTGACTTCAGCTCAGGTCATGATCTAGGGGTCCTGGGATGGAGCCCCCTTGTAGGGCTCCTTGCTCAGTGGTGAGTCTGCTTGTTTCTCTCCCTCTCGCTCTGCCCTTTCCCCTGTTCATGCTCTGTCTCTCTCTCAAAAAATAAATAAAATAAAGTACTAAGATTGAGAAGTTTATTTAAAGAGATGTTGCTTACTATGATAGTAATTTCAGAAAATCTGATGGGCAAACCTATTACTCTTCATTAAGGCACTTGAGATGCAAGAGATGCACCTTTTGCCATTGACCTAAAGTTGTAAGTCCTTAAATTTTTTTTTCAGGTCACAGTATATATGTTTGCCTAAGCACAGGCTGGTCAACTGTATGATAGTGGCATAAATTTTCATAATTTATACCATGAAGAAAAAAGTATCAGTTGAGTTCATTATGATACTTGGCTCTTCAGGGAGCAAATCCCTTTGAATATACTTCCCTGATGGATCCCTAGAAAAACAGTAATATTGCCTTAGGTTTCCAAACAAAATGAAAAAATGTTTCTACCTTAACTTTTCCTCTTGGCCTTTAAGGTATCCTATCCGGTGACAAGCTATATCTAGAAAACAAAGCAGCCACACCTGCTAGGTGCCAGGGGAAGACCTTCCACAGGAAGATGAGACCTGTGATGTCCTAAAACTCAGAGACACATTGTCACCTTTTAGTGGAACATTTATTAATACTTATAAGGTGCCAAAAAAAAAAAGGGGGGGGGAGACACTGATGTAAAATGACAGATGTCTTCTTCATCAGAGGTCTGCTTCACAGCCAGCGGGCTCGGTTGCTTTAGGCAGTATGTTCCCCGAGGCCGAGCAGTTGGGCTCGGTTGCTTCTGATACAAAGCAAGGACCTTTATCTTCAGGAACACTTGATGCTCTAGTCAGTTCTCGATAAGTACCCACTGTTGGCCAGAGGAGGCTCTAACTATCATCCCTTCCAAGGAAACAGATCACTAACCACCTCCACCTCCGCGTTGAAAACAATAAATTGAAAACAAAAAGCATAAATGCTCCTGATGCTTTGTACAGAATGTCAGGCAATTCTTAACAGTTGGCCTGAAAATGAATCCAAACGAGAGGCATGTGACAAGCAGATGGCTGCATGACTTACTCAAGGAAGGGAGAGAGCGCAACAGGAATGCTCCACGTTAAGGAACTAGAGCATGTTCCCGATGGCGGGGGATCTGCCCACTATTCCCCTCTTATAAGATCTGACAGGCTCTTTTCCCAATTTGAAAGAGGTCCCCCTGAAGTGGACATGGTTCTACGGTTGAAAATACTAGGTTTACCTTGCCATGTCCTCTGACACCTTGATAGATTTATCTTACACTGGGTGTTGCTAATTCTTTCAGAATCTGGGTTTCTGGGACTTGCTGTTTATTCAGCAGGAACCTACACAGTCTCCGTTTTAACTTGACTGAAGTAAATGAATCCACAACATCTTTCATTATAAATATAATGCCCTGGGAGAGAATACAGCAGCGAACCAGACAGACAAGGTTTCCAGGGGCCCTGGTACCCAGAACAGTGCCTGGCAGACAGTAGGCACTAAATAAATATTCACGAATGAATGCATGAATAATCAGGCGGAGGCTGTGGAGGCCACGGTAGTGTTTCTTCTAACTGCTTTGGATCTCTGAAACCACAGACTTCCGTCTCATCTGTTAGCAACAGTTAATTTTTCTTGGCCAGTGTTATATTTGAATTTGATTCATACACTAAAAATTATGGACCATTATAAATATCTTAGATTTCCTCTCTGGGTACCCTTTCCTGCCAGATCTTCAGAGTAAGGAGATGTTAAACCACACTGCACGATCCCCAACTTGCCTGTAAGCATTTACTAAAATAAAATAGCATTGTCTTATCCAAGTTACAAAAAACAAAAAGTTCGGAAATCATTTTTCTGCACAAATGCAGAATGATATTATCAACCATAGTGTGAACTTAGTTCAGTTCCTCAGTTGTACCGTTGCTTTGAACTTTCACAAATTGTCTTTTTTTCCCCATCATAAACATGACAACTCAATTAGTAAGGAATTATTTTTCAATTAGTCATGTCAGCTCCTTATACCATGAGCTGATATTCTCAACAGTTTTTATCCACAGTTATCATATCTTTGCTTCAGAGTCCGTACTTTCAAAGGAAAATTTGTAATAGCACAATGGAAAATGAAGTACAATCTCTTTTTATAGGTAAACATAGTATAAGTAGTAGATAATTGAAGAGCTTATACATCATAGCCTATTACTATTCTCAGCGGCTGAATGCTAATCAGTTAACTGCCTTTGAGCTCTATATTTTTAAATGTGATTAAAACATACAGTCTCACAGTAAATGTAAATGGCTTATTAAGGGCCTTTACATGGCAACAGTATCATATGTCAGAGATGAATGGTGTTTCTAATTTGCTAGCCACTTGGGTCAAGTTTACTTTAAGCAGGAAGCATATTTATACAAGTAATCGTAACACAAATGGTCTCTTGAGAAAAGCTGTTGGTGAGGGTTTAACATTTTTGAAGTATGCTTTTGTATATCTTCTAAATGGGTATTTTATAGGCACTGGGCCAAAGCGCCTTAAGTCCTTGTTCCTTCACACCAGCATCACTGCTGCGGATGGTGCCTGAATGCTCAGGAAGATTCGTGGTGTGTACATTTCTAGGGGTGAGGCGAGAGAGGATCAGGGGGCTTGAGCCACCTTCCTTTGTACTGCATTCTTCAGGACTTTGCTACTTAAATTGGGGCGGGGGGAGGGCAGCAGCACCTGCGGCACCCGGGGCATGTTAGAAATACACAGACCGCACTCCAGACCCGCTGCACCGGAATCTACACTCGAACCCGATCCGCTTGTGATTTGTAAGCACTGCCTGGGACCCCAGATCCTCTGTTTTCTCTTTCCTCCTCACTTCTGGCATCTACCTCTTTCAAGAAAAGCCGTCCCCTCAGCTCATGTTTCCTTTCTTTCTCAGCACTCCCACACCGCAGACCCAAATGAATTTACCAACATTGGATGTTTTTGCTTTTATCCAAGAGCCCACTTCTGATGCTGCCCATTAGACATCATCCTGGGGCTTCCTGCTGCCTAATAATCTTGGGAAAGTCAAGGCATCCTAAGGACTTCTGAAGCTATGCATTTATCCTTTCTTGCGGCTAAGCCTCCCATCCTTTGTTTATTCTGCATTGAGAGCCCATCCTTCTGAGCTGTCCACCAGAACCCAATCTCCCCTTGCCATTTTAGTCCCTTCTCTTCTTGGGGGGTGGGGGGGTGAGAGGTTGATTTCTTCATCCCAGTTTCTACCCCTGGAACACTACCTTCCCCTAACCTAGCCATAAGCTTCTCTGCTAATACATGTGGGGAATTGAAAGGACAAAAGGGCATCATGCCAGATGTTTGGGGGAATCACAGACAGAGTTTACTCAGTAGATGGAACTGTATGCAGTTACTGATGACTCACATGGCAGCCCCCTGAACACACTTGATTTGGCCACACCTTTGCATTGAGAGGCTTAGCCTACAGCAGGTGCCCGGAGGCAACTGGACATGCCACACGCCCAGACTGACCAGCCTGTTGGCCTCTAGAAGCAATTTGATCCCTCTGTTCCAAACTGTGCTGGGGTAAGAGGTTCTGCAAAAAAAAGTGAATTGGGCATTTAGAAGTGCATTGCTTACAAATTCAGGCTCTGTGGGCCGGGGGTTAGTGCAGCCAATGGTCAAGGGAACAATCTGGGGTCAACTGGGTGAGGACCCCTCAGCCTCCTCTGAAGTGGTCGGCACCCAGAAGAGATTTCTTTAATCAGAGGAGACTGGCAGGGGGAGAAACAGAATTGCTTTCTGGCCATAGTGAGTCCGAGGACCGCGTTTGCAGCTTCCGTTCTTTTTGAGACCAACAAACCAATTCTTTTCGGCGTGCTTCTTGGAGGTGTAGGTGTTGTAATGGTTTTCCTCCAGCCTTTCCAAGAACAAACATTCCTCATTTGGTGTCTGCTAAAAAGATAAGACCGAAAGAGGGTAGAATTATTAGTGATTGGTTTTCAGTGAGGTTTCTCTGTTTACTAGCCATGTGACCTTGGGAGAGTTTACTGAGGCCCTTTTGTCCTTCAGTTTCTTTTTCAGGAAAATTGAGATCATAATGGGACCTGTCTCTGAGGGTAATGGTAATGGTAATGACTTAGAACAGGACCCAGCACCTAGTGAGCCTTCAAATTCATTTACTGTTTTTGCAAGCTCCCTTCCATCTGCTGTCCTCAGGACCCTAGAGTTCCCAGCTGGGAAGATCCCGAATGACCACATAGCACATCAAGGGCAGGGCTGAGCCTTTTGTCTCTGTAAAGGCCTGGCACATGGACATGACCCTGAAAAAAGGCCAAAATCGGTAAAACCAAACCATGATGTGGTGAGGGTTTTTAAGTTTGGATTGAAAAATAAATGAAAACCTACTAATATTATTTTATATCCTGGTGACTTTCACTAACAATATCAGCATTTTTGCCTTAGCTTTGTTAGGGATATAAACACTTGTACAAAATGTATCCTAAGCGTGAAACATTATCCTGGAACTTAAAATTGTTAAAAAGTGAACATAGCTTTATTTTTTCCTATGTATAAAAAGACCTACTTATACAAAGAATTGCACTGTATTTTTTTTTAAAGAATTGCACTTTTAAAAAAAAATCACAACTTTACTTTAAAAAAAGAAAAAAAAATTAAAAACCACCCCAAAGCCACCCACCCAGATATAGGCAACTGTTAACAGTGATGAACATACTTCCTCCTATCTTTACGTATGTAAACACGGAGGGACATAGATAAGGCCATACAGATAGAGGCTGATGATATTAGCAAAATGGCATGCTATCTCTGCTTTAAAGAAAAAGCGGGGGGGGAATAAACCTATGAAAACATTCAATCTCACAAGAAAATGCAAGTTAAAACCAATTTAACAGGTTGGCTGTAATATCTGAAAAGAACAAAAAAAATTTGCAATGCTTAGTATTGTGAGAGCATAGGAAATAGGCACTTTTGCGCACTGTTGGTGAGATAAATTGGTAGCAATTTTCTGAGGGTAGTTTGGCAATATGTATTACCTTTGACCCAGCAATTTCATTTGTAGGAATTGAGCCTTAGGGAGATAGTTGAGCAAGTGTAAAACGGTATTTTCGAGGATGGTCTTTGAAGTACTGGTATAATGGGAACACATTCGAAGCAACCTACATCTTCATGGAAAGGTGATTGGTTAAGTGACTAGGGGCACATCCATACAGTGGAATCCAGTGCAGTTGCCAGTTTATTAAGCTGGAAAGATCACTACGACATATTCAATAGTGCAGTTACTTTAAAAATATCTACCAACGATTACTGTTTTATTTGGAGTTCATCTGTTAGAAAGTGGGAAGAATCCCAGGCATTTGAACTTCCTATTCATCAGGATTTTAGAATACATTTATTATATTTGGATATAAAATACGTATGCTGTATATTGATTTTGCTCCAGTTCCAAGTCACGTGATCTTAACGTTATCTCTTCACCCACAGGAGTGGGTGATGCCCTTCCTGGTGGTTTCCGATCTTGTTGTTCATTATTCTTTATTTGTGGGCACGTTTGATTAGTAAGGAACTACAGAACAAGATGTTTCCTGCTTCTTATTCATTTGTAGTCTCGTGCAATGACATCTGGGTGAGACACTTTGGATCCTTTTAGAATAAGATGGGAGACAACTAATATTTAATTGGGTAGCTGCTGCCCCTAAAGGAACTTATCCAGACGTTAGCGGTTGATGCACGTTTTTGGGTGTGGGAGGAGGTAGGCAGTTGTGGACGTGTGTGGGTTACCCACTTCCCTGCAGGGAGGGTCTCCCATGGCACCCCTCAGTGGGCGTTCAGGCCTGCGTTCTGTGACGCAGGTGAGGACGGCCAAGTCCCTCCCCTGATGTCTCTGTTACACTACGGCAGTTGACACACACAGAGCGGCTGAGTCACAGACTGAGTCAGCAGGGCCGCATCAGAGGAGCTCCGTCTGTCCCTCAACCAGGATTTGTCAGGAGTTGTGATGCATTTGGTGCAATGCCAAGGGCCTGGAGATTAACAGTTGATTCATGACTATTTTAAAAATTATTCTCTTTTTTTATATTTAGCACACTTTTTCCCCCCACTAAATAGGTGACATATGCCTCCTGTAGAAAATTTGGATAAGACAGGCATTCACATATTGTAAAATTAGCCACTTACCACCCCTAGAAATACATATATTAATGTTTTGATATATAGCCTCTCAAACTTATTTTTTAAAGTAGTATGTCCTTTCTACAGACATAAAAATTTGTAGCAGGGTGGATTAATACCTAAAACTGGTTAAGAGTGTGAGGCAGAGCTCTGAGATATTTTAGAACTTGTCATTATTAGTGGAGAAATATATAGATTATTAGGCATAATATATTAAGATTACCCTCTGAATATTTCAGGTGAAGTACAGTGATGGGCAGGACTACAGTGGGAGCCCAGAGGAAATTGGATTTGGGGGTTCTCCCTCAATATTTTTATACAAGTAAAAGAAGATTATATTAAATATCAAAACTGATTTAAAAGAGGAAAAGCCATAAACTAAAAATGTAACCTGTGAAATAATGAGGAGAAGGGATTTATTAACTTATTATTTGTCTTATAACTTTCACTGATGGGGTACCTCCCGTGTGTCAGCAACATTGGTGGGTGGGTTCTGTGCATTGTCTCTCTGACCCCTCTTAACCCCTATATGTGGTAGTCACCAGCAATTACTATCTTCATTTTAGACAAGGCTCAGAGGAGGTAAGTAACTTGCCAAAGTTGCAGAGAATTGAGATTCAGTTTTGAGTCTGAGATTCAGTGATTGATTGGTTGATTGATTTTATTACCAAGTAGAAGAACCATCTTAAAAAAAAATCTACTTCCTATGTAGCAGTCACTGCCTAGCTCCAAACCCTTTAAAATTGTCCCATTTAATCCATATTTCAGCAAATAGCCTACAGGAGGCTGCTCATTACTCTGACAGTCTCATCTCCTGACCCTTAGCAGACGGCCTGAAAGACCAAACTGTGCTCACATCCTGAACCCTGGCTGAAGTGACAGCTTTAAGAGGCAGTTTTCTGTGCCCATGCCCCTTGGCAATTTGATGTAAGTTAAAGGGGGCCGACCAAAACCCCCTACTAGCTGCCTTTTTGTAGACATCTTCATAAAAGGGAAGAAAGGAGTTTGGCCAAGCCTCAATGATCAATTGTTAGGATATAGAGAAAGGATCACTGAGATTCAGAAATCATTTCAAAACTTGGGTCCATTGGCTTTAGTTCTCTTTCCATTTAAATCTTCTACCAGAGATACCAATAGGGGCAAAAATCACACTGTGTGTTTCCATTCTTTTTTCACAAAGACCAGTATATACTGAGTCAAACCTGTGTAAAGCATTACCCAGAGGAGGGATGGTGCAAAAGATGTGGAGGATTTTTAGCTCCTGAGTAAATGCTCAGACAGGGATGTAGCTCATTCATTGCCACATCCCTTCAGTACTTAGACACAGGAGGCACTTGCTGAAGGTTTATGGGTGATGAGTCACATGCTAGAGTCTAGGCTCTATAATTTTTGTGAAAAGCATAGAGAACACGCTTACAGCATGCAGTGGTGCTGGAGAAACATTTTTGGAATGAATGAATGAAGTGGAAATAGGTATTCTGAAATGATTGACTGAGGAGTTACTAAAATTTCAATCAATATCTCCTCTGTGTCTAGGTGATAATACGTTCGAGTACTTTGAGAGAGCACCACAAGAAAGTCTTTCATGCCTGCGCCTAAAATAAGGCACGGTAGAGGGTGGGAATCCTGCTGGAAAAAAAAACAAACAGAGACTAATTGTTGCTTTATAGTTTGCATCACTCAGTGTAACACGATTTCTGGAAACCTCAAACCTTGGCCGTGTCTGGAAGCATGTCAGCCTCATACTTACTGAGCCGTACAAAAGCCCATCGGTGTCCATGGCCAAGTACTGGCCAGTCTCGGTACTCTTTATATACACCTCCCCCACGCTTTCCGCACTGAGCTGCAGCTGAACTGAAACAAAAATAACACGAGCAAAAGTAAATAAACACTAAACCTTTGCCGATAGGGCCTGGCGGCCAGGACAGTTAGCCATGGAAAATTCTGCTCATTCATTTCTCAGTGCCCTCAAGGATGAGCCTCAAATTAATCAAAACATAGAAATACAGTTCCTTTTTCTTTGCCCTCCAAAGAAAGCTGCCCTTTGGGAGTGATGTTCTTGAGAGAAGGAGAGATGCTGGTGGGCGTGCCCTCCATCCCCCTGTTGGTTACAGAATGACCCCTCACGCACTTCCTGTTTCTGTCCCCTCCTGGCGGGGAAGTAACCACAGGAGGGAGTGAGCGACATTCGCTCTCCTAGGTGCTGCAGGGTGGGCAGCTGGCCAGCCTGAGTGCGTTTTGCTTTCATTAGCAACCTGCTTTGGGGGTGCCTTTTTAGGGCCCCAGCCTGTTCTGCCATGGGAGCTTCTCGCGGATAGATCGTTTGTTTGTTTTTTTAAGATTTTATTTATTTATTTGACAGAGAGACACAGCGAGAGAGGGAACACAAGCAGGGAGAGTGGGAGAGGAAGAAGCAGGCTTCCCGCTGAGCAGGGAGCCCAATGCAGGGCTCGATCCCAGGACCCCGGGATCATGACCTGAGCCGAAGGCAGACGCTTAACGACTGAGTCACCCAGGCGCCCCTAGATTGTTATTTAAAAAAATCCGATAGCGTTATTTTCCCAGACAGAGAGGTTCCCAGGAAGTTGGATTGATTAGTGCATCTGAAACTCGGGGAACTCTCCCACCATGAAGTTCAGTCAACTGCCAGGCTCTGCGACAGCCCAGCTGAGACAGAGGCAGAGGGGAACCCCAGCTTCTCACTGGGAAGACAAAGCAGTTGTCTGGAAGTGCAGGGATGGGAACAGTGGTTCTCACCCTGGGGTGCTGTTGTTCCCCAGGCGACATCTGACCACATCTGGAGACATTTTGGGCTGTGTTAGCTGCAGTGAGGATGGTACGTCGAGGCCAGGGATGCTGTGACACATTCTGCAATGCTCAGGGTGGCCCCCACAACAAGGAATTATTCAGCCCAGAAGGACAATAGTGCTGCGGTTGGGAAACTATGAGGTTGAGGGCAAGGAGCTGAGTTCCTCTGAGTTAGACTCCCCATTTACACTGATTAATAACCCTAAGGAGGCTTGCCCACTGTGGGACCACTACCTGGAGTACGACAGCCACTCAATAATTCTTCATTTATTCATTCTCCCCCTGGTGGCTCTAGAGGGGGAGATCCTTTAATGGCTCACATTTGAGAAGCAAAACTAAGTCTGGGCTCTCTGGATGATTTCTTTGGTCATTAGACTAGTCATCACAACCATCGTGATGACTAGGGGTGAAAAATCTAACTGAGGACCAGTGAGCACCCCGTTCCCAGGGAGCATAAGCTGACCTCCCTAAGGGTCAGCTTAGTCAGAGGCTGAGGGGCAGTGTGGGCTGGAAGGAACACTGGATTCTGGTTGGCAGCTGGAGACCCCTCGTTGCCTTTTCTTTGTTTTCCTGCTTTATTCAATTTCTTTGAATAGGAAATACATTCACCTGTTTCGAACTTGGAAACCGTGTTAAGAGGAGACAGAGTCTCCCTTCTATTGCCTCTGTCCCCCAGCCTCCCTTGTGCGACTGGGCAAATACATGTTATCCCTCCTGCCTTTTTTTTTTTTTTTTAACACAAACTTAACCAACTGGAGATCTTGCCAGTGCAGCACTGAAAGAGTTAACCTCATTCTTTTTGCCAGCTGCACCGTGTTCTACTATGTGGCTACACCATGATCATTTAACCGCTTCCTTATTAATATGTCTGTTTTTTCTCATTTCCCTCTGTTTTCCTTATCTTCTGATTCATCCTGAGAGTGATACATAGTTACTCAACCTTACTGAAGATGCAGTTTTCTTGTCCTTGGAAGTGTTCACTACAGAGACTAGGGTCTCCTCTAGCTTCCTGTGGTCAGTGGAGTTTATCTAATTCACAGGAAGCCACTGATCTCCTTTCCCACGGGTCCTCCTGACTTGGGTTAGTCGGAGAGGGTAGTCATGAGAGAACAGGCCAGAAGGCCTCCATCATGATCTGGGCCTCTGCTCTAGCCTCACACCACACCACTTGCTCGCCCACTCACCCTGCCCCACCCATTTAACTCCCCCAACACATCAAGCTCTCTCCCACCTCCCACGCTTGACGCTTTGTCTGGCACTTTCTAACCCTTGATGTTGACACAGTTGGTCCTTCTCCTCCTCCAGGCCCCAGCCTAAATGCCTCCTCCTCAGAGAGGCCTTTCCCACTCAAGGCCCCCACAACTGTCTGTATACAACCTTGCCCCTGCCAATGCCACCTGGGTCCCCCCCATTGTCCGCCTTCTCAGTCCTTTGTTTTCTCTGTGGCACTTTATACGGCGAACAGTTGTTTTTGTCATTTAGGGATTTGCTCCTTTATTCCTGCCTCCCTGGGAGAATGTGTACCCAGGGAAAGAACAGGGATCGTCTCTGTCCTGTTGCCCGTAGGTCTGCAACACCTCCCACTGTGTCTTGCCCACCAGTTCAGCCAAGATAGATTTGTCAAATGGATGATGTTAGGCCAATATTTGCAGAGATGATCCTGCTGCCCATCATCAATAAGCTGTGCACTTTGAATTATGTTTCCAGTAATGCTTTGTGGAATGAAGTAAGAGGGACCGAGTTGAGAGCTTTCCGGGCTCTTCCACCAGCCCGCTGGGTGACCTTGGCGAGGCTCCTTAACCTCGAGGCCACAGGCTCTTTATCAGTAACATGGGAAGGCTTTGCATTCAGTCTCTAAAGTTTTTCCCAGCTCTAACATCTCAGTAAATACCTTTCACAGCAGTGCTGCGCCAACAGAATATTGTTCGGCCATAAAAAGGAATGGAGTACTCCTACGTGCTGCAACATGGATGAGCCTTGAAAACGTGCTCAGTGAAGGAAGCCGGTGACAAAGGACCGCATATTGTATGGTTCTATTAAATGAAATGTCCAGAATGGACAGACCCATAGAGACAGGACATAGATTAGTGGTAGCCAGGGCCTGAGGACGAGGGTGGGGAGAGCAAAGGGGAAATTCTGGTCGAGAGGTACAGGGTTTCTTTTGCAGGAGATGAAAATGTCCTAAAATTGATTGTGGAGATAGTCACAACTCTGTGAATTAAGAAAAACCACTGGGGGTGCCTGGGTGGCTCAGTCGTTAAGCGTCTGCCTTCAGCTCAGGTCATGATCCCAAGATCCTGGGATCAAGTCCCGCATCGGGCTCCCTGCTTGGCGGGGAAGCCTGCTTCTCCCTCTCCCACTCCCCCTGCTTGTGTTCCTGCTCTCACGATCTCTCTGTCTGTCAAATAAATAAATAAAATCTTAAAAAAAAAAAAAAAAGAAAAACCATTGACTTGTACACCATAAGTGGGTTAATTCTACGGTATATGAATGATATCTCAGTAAAATTGGGGTTTTTTTAGTGCTTTGTGTTTTCATTGGATCTTATGGTTTTCAGAGAAGTTTTACATACATTTTCCTGCCAGTTTCTCAGCATAATCCTCTATGTTTAAGAGAGACCAAGGGAAGGGACTGTGTATGGATCACCTAAACATGCCAGGCATCGTGCTAGTTTCTATCCTGGTATAAACAGTATAAAATTAGAGTGTGGGTTCCAGAATCAAACTACATGAATTCAAATTCTGGCTTGGCTGTGTATTAGCTGTGTGATCATTGGGCAAGTTATTTAGCTCTGTTGCCTTATGCGTGATGATAGTACCTGCTTCATGGAATTGTTTTGAGGATTAAATGATTTAATGCATGGCGAGGGCCCAGGACTGTCACTGTCATTTCCACGGAGCTACGGTGACTTCATTGCTTCTCCCAGCATTGTCTGGAGGAAGGTGGCAGTGGCTTTGTCCTGTAGGGAGGAAGACTGAAGTTTGCTGACAAAATGTTTTACCCAACATTATACTTATAATCAGGAGTCACATCGTGACCAGAGCCCAGCTCTGAGTATTGCAAGTACCCTGTGTTTTCTTCTCTTTCATACAACACCTTGGGCTCCAGTGATGGGAAAGATGGATCCAGATCCAGCCAAATTCTCTCTTCTCACATCCCCTTGTGTTCAAGGTCAGACAAGATGTACAGATGGCGGATAGTCATCCGGGATCCCATTTGTAGCTCTAGGTTGGTTGCCTGGGACTTTTTTCCACCTACCCACCCATTATGTAGGTATTTATTCAAACACATTATAGGTGCTGCAGAAATCCCAAAGGACAGGTCCTTTTGTGTAATCAAGGTTTTTTTTAAATAGACTGTATTTTTGAGCCATGTTAGGTTCACAGCAAAAATGAAGGGAAGACACAGTGATTTCCCGTATATCCCCTGCTGTCACACGTGTGCAGCCCCCCATTACCAACACCCCCATCACGGTGGTACATTTGTTACAACTGATGGACCTACACGGACACATCATTATCAGCAAGGGACGTTTTTAGAAAGCTTTTCATTTCCTAGCTCATTTCTGTTCTCTGCCTTCCCTAGTCTCCGTTCGTCTTTCTCGGGGTGGGGGGTGGGCAGGTGGAGTCGAGTTCGCCCTCTGTGGACTGTGGACTCCCATGCTGGCCACGTGAAGGCCTCACGGAGTTACACATGAGCCGGAGCTGCTTGGCACAGGACTCAGTCCTCAGCCATGAGCCCCAACGCCCCAACGTTGTTGCACTGGTGAGAGTTCGTCTCAAGAGTTTCCTCTGTAAATATTATTTCTCCAGGATGTCCAAGTTTCATAGCTCATTTTCACTGGATTTCTTTCTGGCTAAGTTTCCTAAACATATATCCTCTGCGAGCAGGCCTGGCAGGAAGGAGTAACACCCAGCTAGGGCTGCTTGTGGAACCAACGAGGTGTCTGGCTCCCTCGAGTGACTCCATTCCAGTCTTCTCAACCTACAGCCTCCGGCAGCTGCTGCCCAGGAGGAGCGAGAAGGAGTGTGTGTGAGAAAGGGGCT